CACCCAGCTCGCACCCCTCGGGGCACTGCGCCCCACCTCGGGGTGCCTCGCAGATGCAAAGGAAGCCCTGGGACTCCAGCCCCACGCAAGTCTGGTTGTCTCAGTTCTCTGAGTCTCAGGCATAACCCAAACCAGTCAAAAATCCACCAAATAAAGGGAAAGCCCCTCCACCTCGGATCTGCCGAGTGTTTGGCTTGTCCAGCGTCCCATCCCTGAATGCTGGATCACCCGCTGCAGCCCCGAGCCAGAGAAGGGGATCTTCCGAGCAGGGATACGGCCCCAGCCTGGGCTCATGCTGGCCCCACGGCTCACAAAACCACCCCAGAGCACCACATGCTGCTGTGGGGCACGAGTCAGCCCAGAGGCAGGCAGCCTCCCTCCTCTCAGCGGTGTGTTTTTGGACCTTTTCTCCTGCCAAGCTCCAGCACCCGTTAATTCCTGCACGGCCCGAGAGCTGTTCTCCTCCTGCTTGCCCCCAGCGCAGCATTTCCCCAGGGAACTGCTCTTAGAAATCCTCTTTATTTGGTCAAAGCCACGTCAGTGATGGAGAACACAAACCCCAGAGCAGCCCCAAAGTGACGCAGTGCCCCTGCCAACACCGAGCAGCCACAGACCAGCCTTGTCCCGTGGCTTCAAGCACCTGGCTAGCTCCCAACCAACCCTGCAAGGCTGCAGTGAACTGAAAGCAAGGCTGGAGCAGCGCTTCACCGGCCGACCACAGCGTACCTGAGCTCAAGCAGCTGCTGCAAAGCACCACTGGGGTTCCCTCGTGTGCCTGCAGCCCTCAGCAAGGCCAGCACAGCAGCAGGTGCCTGCTGGAAGGGGGGACTGAGGAGTTTGGGAGCACCAGCCGGGCTGAAGGGGATGTTCTGGAAATGCCCGCCCCAGCACAGCGAGAAGCACCCCGCACGCTGCTAGGAGCGATGCTGGTCCCTGTCCTCCAGCCCTGCTCCTGGCTTGGAGCCACCCAAGCACCCCTGGAGCGCCCTGGAAGTGGCACGGGACAGGGCACAGGCAGTCCCGGCTGCTGCTTGGCTGCAAACCTGGCAACAGTGGTTTTATCCCTCGGGACAAGGATCCTCCTGCAGCTCAAAGCAACCTTGAGCAACTCCCCCCAGCTGCTCCCCTTGGCTGGATGGATCCATCAAAAAACAGAGGAAGAAATGAGATCAGACGCAGGATCCGGGCACCCGAGGCAGCCCCACAGAGGGGTACGCAACACGGGCAACGGCTGCAAAGGTTGTCCTGGTCCCCCCCAAGCCTGGCCAGCAGGGAAGGAGGGGAACAGAGAGGAGACCACAGGCACTAGAGCCCCCGCAGCAGCCACGGTTGTTTCCTGGCAGCAGGAAGGATTCTGGGGGTCCCTCCAGGGGCCACCCCACTCAGTTGATGGGCTCGTAGTCAGAGAAGCGTTTCCTCTGGGCGAAGAGAACCAGGCAGCTGCCCACCAGCAGCATCGCCAGGGGGGTGCCCAGTGCCACCGCCGTGATGGAGATGATGAGGGGGGAGAAGGTGTCCTCGGGGCTCTGCCCGAAGCCCAGCAGCACCGACCTGCAGGAGGGGACGAGACAAATCAGCCGTGGAGACGGGGATCCGCTCCACCCCAGCTTTCCAGCCTCCAGATTCCTTGGCAGGATCCCACACCAGGCAGGAGAGAGCCTTCCAGACTGGGAGAGGGAGGAAATAAACTGGGAAACTCCTTGCTACAGGGTAAGAGGAAAACACAGACTGCTGAACGGAGATTAAAGAGAGAAACCCTCTCCCCTTCGCAGTTCCCCACACCGCAGGTATTGGCGACTGGGAGAGCATCGCTTCTCGCACAACGGACCCACTCACCAGCGAAGGTAGCGCTTCTCCTGGTAAACCTTCCCGTCCTCTCCCCCGAAGGAGATGTTGATGGCGCTGACGGTGTAGGTGCTGCCCACACCCTCCCCGAAGTAGGCGTGGACGATGCTGGACGTGGGCAGGGTCCAGTTGGCGGCTTGCAGGCCCCGCGGCCG